CATTGATTTATTTATTTTTTGTATAAAAACTAAATCTCATTGTACATGGTATTAAGTAATCTTTTTTCATAAGAAACCATTTACCGTTTCAATTCAAGACTATTATCAACAAATTTTATTACCACAATTGGTTGGGGATGTTGGATGCAAACAACCGTTCTTATTACTAGTATTCGATATGTGCATTTGCATAGATGTAATTTTAAGTTAGATACTTTTATATATTTTATATATATAGTATTATCCCTCCTATATATTAATACAGAACGTCCCTCCTATATATTAATACAGAACGCATTGAGCTTACGTGACTGCTTCTGGTGCTTCGAAATCCTATGTGGCAAAATTACATGCTTCGTTATTAGGCTTGGGTAAATTTTAATTTAATTCCAAACCAAAAATAATTAGGTTCGCATTACCACAAATATGTTGATTATTTATAGTCATGTTACATGTATTAATTGTATTTTAATATCATTCATTATTATAACTATTGAATTGTATATATATTTTAAAAGTTAATAACTTTTGTATTTTTTTATCAGTTTTACATATGTAATATATCAAATTAATCTTCTTTTGATGAGCTTCGATTTAACATCCATATTGTATGTATAAAAAATAATTTATATTTATCTATATAACAATAATAAAATTATTTTTAATATTAATTAGAAAAATAAAATTATTTATCAACTAATATATTTATTTTTCAAGTAGTTATATGATATAAGTTATAACAACTAATATAATATAACACATGTAAGTCATAAGTAACACATATCATTCTAAAATAAATAGTAATATATTTTTTTTTGTAAAAAAGTAAACTAAATCTAATATAGTTTTCTCATTAATTTTAAAATTTAAAAATATTTTTTTAACAAGCACCCGTGTAATACACGGGTGTTGTACTAGTAAGTTATATTTATTCATATAATACTAATTTTGAGCGATCATGAACAATTTTGAGTTAGATAATTTTGATTGCATGAAATGTAATAAATAATGTAACTTCTTTTTTATTTTAATTTTGAACGATCATGAACAATTAATTAGCTTTAAAATATTAAAGTTATTATAACAATTGCTTATGTGGTTTTAATGTATTTTACTATGGCATTAAAAAAAATAATTTATTTAAAAAATAATCGCTTAATCAGATAACAAAAAATATAATATTGATTTTAGAATAAATAACTTGAACAAAAAGTCTTTACAATATATTTTTATATGCTTATGTAACTTTCATGTATCATGAAAATACAACATTGATTCTAATAATAACAATCATATGATACGATAAAAAATAAAATTATTTCTCGGTTAGTATAAAATATAATAGTTTTTATCTTAAGTAACATAAAACTAAGTGCTAGGATATATTTTATCATTGATGAGATAATGTGGATTGATATAATAATAATAATAATAATAATAATAATAATAATAATAATAATAATAATAATAATAATAATAATAATAATAATAATAATAATAATAATAATGGATTTTAACGGTTATTGGAAGAAAAATACCAAATAAGTAAAGTTTTATTTAACGATTTTCCATCATTTATACATATATATAGATTGTCATAATTTTTCTAAATAGAGGTTACAAACAAATAAAAATAAAAAGAAAAAAGAATGAAAGGATGGAAATACTTTGAAAAATCAAGAAGTCGTTACTATATATGATAAACAAATAAGAAAATGCTATAATATATAATAACAATTAGTAATAACCATAAAAATGTTACCATATTGATAAAATAATAAAAAACTTACCATATTGACTTGAAAATGCATTTGAGCAGGAAAAGTGCTGAGGGTTTTATTAAATGCCATGTCAGCAATTATTATTATCCCCTCCCCTATATATTAATTCAGAACGCGCTGAGCCTACATGGCTGCTTCTGGTGTTTCAGAATCCCATGTGGCAAAATTACATGCTTCTTTATTAGACTTGAGTAAATTTTAATTTAATTCCAAACCAAAAATAATTAGGTTCGGATTACTATAAATATGTTGATTATTTATGGTCATGTTACATGTATTAATTGCATTTTAATATTATTCCTTATTATAACTATTGAATTGTATATATATTTTAAAAGTTAATAACTTTTGTATTTTTTATCAGTTTTACATATATAATATATCAAATTAATCTTCTTTTGATGAGCTTCGATTTAACATCCATATTGTATGTATAAAAAAAATAATTTATATTTATGGTTATAACAATAATAAAATTATTTTTAATATTAATTAAAAAAATAAATTATTTATCAACTAATATATTTATATTTCAAGTAGTTATATGATATAAGTTATAAAAACAAATATAAAATAACTGTAAGTCATAAGTAACACATATAATCTAAAATATATAGTAATATATATATTTTTTTTTGTAAAAAAATAGACTAAATTTAATATAATTTTCTCATTAATTTTAAAATTTAAGAGTAATTTTTTAAAAAACACCCGTGTAATAGTTTAAGAATACACGGGTGTTGCACTAGTATCGACATGGATATAGATATCTTTAGGGGTGAAAGCGGGGTGGATAATTTCCGCATCCGATCCGATCCGAATCCGCGTTACGAGGATATGGATTAAGGTTTTAGATATCCATGAGGATATGGATAATCCGCATCCGATTGTTGCGGATATGGAGGAGGATATGGTATTGGCAATATCCGGTGGATATGGATTATCCGACAATTTAAAATGGATTATCCGACCTTTATAAGAGGATATCCGATTATTTTACATAGCCCTAAATAATATAATCCCGGTCCAACTAGCCCACACAAACCATATAAAATTACTCATCGGCAGACACCCTAAAAGCTAAGGATACGGCGGCTGGTTCCACAATCATCTCGCATGCAGGTCGCTGTCAGCGACATCTATTTGCATCTTCGTTCCCCGACCGCCGCTACTCTCGTGCGTGCTACTGTTTTCTTCGACACAATAAGTCAGCACTAGGTATTGTATTGCACTTTACTATTTTTTTACCCAATCTTGTAATTGTTCTTCCAGTTCCGACTTTCTACAGCCAGCCTCACTCCAGGCCGGCACACCGCACATGTACGAATCGTTTTGTTGGTGAACGAATGAGTTATCTCCTAGAAGATCGATGGCATCATCATGATCTTTCTAGCATCTATGGACCATCGTGGCTGTATGGATCTTTTGGGGCCTTGGTGTAGATCATGTATATGTCGATCCCCACTGGATAGTTGATACAAATCCCTACCCAGAAGAGATCTATATATCTGCATCACTGCATGCATGATGCATCTATATATAGCTCGGACCTATGACTATTAGGCTATGATTTTGTATAGCGGGTGTATTGCTTAATTATTAATGGTTTAGCTTAGCTAGTTGTGAACTAGCTATGTACTTGGCTCGTCTCGTTAGCTAAGTACCTAAGGAACTCAATGTTTTGTGTTCTTTTTAATTTTTCTTGCAACTTTGCTTTATTAATTATTATTCGTCATAAAGAGTTGAGTAGAAGCATGTATTATCCGACTATATAAATCCGCATCCGATCCGCTTCCGCTCCGAATCCGTACCATCTCTGATATCCAAAACAATCTGCATCCACATCCGTATCCGCCCAATATCCGCTCCGCTCCAAATCCGCAAAAATAAAATGGATTAGGATGTGGGAAAGGCATTATCCGCACCGCACCGCACCGTTTTCATCCCTAGATATCTTGACACTTTATTAATAAAAAAGTTATATTTATTCAAAAATTTCCACTAATTAAGCATCTTTCTCTTATTCAAAACAAGATAATTTTGGCGTGAATGATTTCCACATAAAGAAAAATGGAGAATATCGTTAGCATTCAAATTCTAATTTATGATCAAGATTCTGATCACTAAATAACATTGTTCTAACTTGTAAAGTTTTTATGTCTTTCGTGTCCATCATGAAATGTCTAAACTACCCCCAAATAAACTTGAATCTTGAAGCCATTTTATGAAAAAAATCATTTAATAAGAAGACAACCTTAACATTTCCAAAACAACAAGAAGTCGTTTTTTTTTTCACTGTATAATAGAATTTTTGTACTAGATTAGATAAAAACGTGTGGGAAAACAATTTATATATAGAAAATCATTTATTATATTCAGTATTTAAGTTGAAATAAAGAGTCAAGATTCAAAGCCAAAAATTAGGTGTATAAAGAAACTCATGGTGAGCGCCACACTCAATCATTTCCCAAAAGCCTACCAATTCCAGAAATGCATGCCTCTGCCGCCCCTCAGTGCGTCTGAGAGAGACACAGAGAGTAAACAAATCTCCATTATTTGACCCCCAAAAAGCTCCATTATTATTATTTTTAACATTTCTCACTGGCCACATGCATATAATACATTCACCGATGCATATGTATATCCATAATATTTTTATTATTATATAGTACACCTTTTGTCACAGATCACTGAGTCTCAAAACAAAAGGAAAAAGATAAAGCAAAAGACAAAACAAATCTACAGAGAGATAGAGAGAGAGAGAGAGGGGAGAATACAGAGTGACTGCTATTGTTTTTTTTTAAAAAAAAAAAAACAAAAGGGGAGATTGATACGATTTGATGTTTCTGTTGGGTTAAAAAAGTGTTTAAAACCCTTCAATGTGCTCTGGCCGTCGGCCATCATTGTGCAGTACAGAGCTTTTGCTTAATCCAAAAACACGCACAAAACGGTGTACTCTGTGATCTCTCGACTGTCTTTGTCACTATCTTCAGTTCTTGGAATTGAAACTACTTCTCTTGCATCTGGGTTTCCTTTTTTTTTTTTTGTCTTCGAACTGTTGAAGAATTTTTTTTTTTTTTTTTTTTTTTTTGGTGTTAAAGACTTGACCTTTATTACTCTCTCATCTCTGCCCTCTTCTTGTTTTTTTATTTTCTCTTCATCTGGGTTTTGAATTCGGGCTGCAAAACTGATAAAATAAAGAAAAAAAAGAAAGACAAAATGACTGTGGAGGAAATTAGGGGCGACTGTGAAAATTTTCCTGTGGGGCTTCGGGTTCTTGCAGTTGATGACGACCCAATTTGCTTGAAGTTGTTGGAGACTCTGCTTAGGAAATGCCAGTATCACGGTTCGTTTTTCTTACTCTTGTTAAATTCTTTTCTTTTTTTTTTCTTGTTCTTAAATAAAATCCTGGGATTTGAACTCTTTTTCGGGTGTACTTTCATTAGATTTGGACATTCTGATTTTCAGTTGTTTTTCCTTAATTTTGTGGGAATATTTGTTGAGTTTCTGTTAACTACTGTTAACTGTTTCATTGATGTGTGCTCTAATTTGATGGGATTTACCGATTTCTTTGGGGTTCGAATGAGGAAATTTGGATATCTCAACAGAGTTGTTCCCTGCTGAATTTTCCAGTTTTTCTTTGTTTGGATGTCAACTGATCTGTCTTCTGTTAGAGGTTTCTTTTTTACATACCAACATTTCTGGGCTTAAGTAGTGTCTATTCCTGTTATCCAAGAATAGGCTATAGGATTTGAATCAAAAAACATTCTTATGAGAGTCCCCACTGTCCTTAACCCAAAGGTAGCATACTCGTGTTTTCGGAAAATCCCAAAGGTAGCATATCGTGTTTTCGGAAAATCGTATAGAGGAATAGATTTTATGAGATGTTCTTTTTATTCACTTGGGTTCCTCTGTAGTTTCACTGAATCCATACACACCCTTTAAATGGATCTGTCTGAAGTAGTCATCACTTAGCCGTGTTCACTGATGAATAAATTTTTACCCTTGCTCTCAGTAACCACAACAAGTCAAGCAAGGATGGCTTTGAAGATGTTAAGGGAAAACAAGAACAGATTTGATTTGGTGATAAGTGATGTTCACATGCCTGACATGGATGGATTTAAGCTTCTTGAGTTTGTTGGTCTCGAAATGGATCTACCCGTCATCAGTAAGTCCCCACATGCATGATCTACACTAAATTATCATAGATCTTGCAAATTTTAATTTTAATTTTAATTTTTTTATTTTGTGTTTCCCAATTTCAGTGTTATCCGCAAATGGAGATCCGAAGCTCGTGATGAAAGGGGTCACGCACGGGGCTTGCGATTATCTCGTGAAACCCGTTCGTATAGAGGAGCTGAGGAACATATGGCAGCACGTGATTCGGCGGAAAAAGATTGACCCAAAGAAGCACAATAAATGCAATGACCAAGTCAAAGCAGGTGTGGAAGGTCAAGGGTCCCCGTTGACCGGGAACACAGATCACAACGGGAAATTCAATCGGAAGAGGAAAGACGAGGAGGACGAGAGTGAGGAGAACGGGAATGAAAGTGAGGACGCTGGTACGCAGAAAAAGCCGAGGGTGGTTTGGTCTATTGAGCTTCATAGGAAATTTGTAGCTGCCGTGAATCAGTTGGGCATCGAGAGTGAGTTCCTTTTTCTATCTTGGTGGATTATTTAGTTGTTTATTGGAAAATATTTGTGTTTTAGTTTGTGTTATGTTTCTTGATGACAGAGGCTGTGCCTAAGAGGATTCTTGACTTGATGAATGTCGAAGGGCTTACACGGGAAAATGTTGCTAGCCATCTTCAGGTAGTAAAATTTATCTTCTTGCCTATTTATTATTTTGAAGTTTATTTAATGGAAATCGGTGTCTTGTTTGTAAGATGAATCGAGTAATCCATGCCTTGTTACACTATTGCAGAAGTACAGGCTGTACCTGAAAAGAATAAGTTCGGTCCAGCAAGCAAACATGATGTCTGCACTGGGTGTTAAAGACAATACCCCCTTCATGCACATGGGCTCCCTTGACAATTTCCGCCTCCCAAACGTCTCTTCTTTCCAATCCAACGCCATGCTCGGCCGATTAAACACCCCCACTAACCTCAACCTCCATTCTCTTGCTAATGTGAACCACTCTCAAAACTTGACAAAAATGCCCCTCCTACTCCCCTCGACCAATCAGAATGCCAGCAATTTGTTTCAGGAGCTCGACCACAAAGGCCCATCCTCAAATTTCACCACCAATATTGACAGCTCGCGGATTTTAACAAACGTGGGCACGTTTTCTGATTTGGGATCTGCCATTGGTGGCCCAAGGAACTTGTTGTCCAACAATAATAATGGTAATAATGCCCCACAGCCGCTCGGCTGTGGAGGATTTGGAAATCAGCCACTCCATACAATGGGCTCCTTCAGCCCGGAATCTTTTAATCCGGGCACGTCCAGTTTACACCAAAATAATAATGATAATAATCATCTGCTCCCGAACGATGCTTTTTTCAGTAGTGACCCGATTGAGGTGTCATCGGGAATGGGTCTAAGTAATAATAATTTTGGTACCTTGAACGGCATCGTCTCTCAGTTGGGCCCGAATAGTGGGGTGTTAAGCCAGAAGATGGATATGCTTTTGAACAGGAGATCGAGTGGAGTTGAGTCGGGTTTGTTGCAGAATAATGGAAATGAGAAGCCACAAGTGGAGGAGTTGATGACGAGGTCTAATGAGGATTTTCTCATGGACCAACCCAGGCTGCACGGTGGATTTGTTCAGCATAGTTATGATTCGTTGGATGAGTTGATGAATGCTATGATCAAACGGGTAAGCTACTTATTTGTTAAAGTATCTATATCTATATCTTTTTTTATCTATATAAAAAGGTTGTTGGAAAAATACATAAATAGTAGTTTTGACTTTTTAGTTAAAGAGTTTGACTTACTAATTAAAGATATGTTTTAAAAAATGATTTTTTTCCCTTCAAAAAATGTCATTAATTTTGTACAAAAATTTTGTAATGTGAATTCAAGTTATGTTAATATAATCCTGTTTTTGAATTCAGAATGACCCTCAAGCCGTCAAATTTGCCGAACATGTAGCTTCCAAAGACTATTCGAATTTAATTTATCCCCATGATACGGAATTATATTTTTTAATTTTCTTCAATTTTATTTCAAAATATGTTTGTGTTTATCCTAACAAAAGACTTGACTTTTTAAACATGCTTTCAAAAATCTATGGTTTGAAATTTGAATATATCCGTGCATATCGTCTTTCAGTTAAGGAAGAATATTTACGATATTTGGTGCCATTTTTCATATCAATGTGTGGAACAGTAACTTTTTCTACTTTTATTTTTTATTTTTCAAAATCTAAAAAACACCACCGAATCACCTTTTTCGTGTGATATGAATATTAAACTTGACTGAGAAAAATAAGTCAATAAAAAATATACAATTTGTTTGATTGAAAAAAAAAATATTATGGGATATATTTTGATTGTGACAAGATATTGTGATTTCCAAGAGACTATTTCAAAAATTAGGTGCATATCGACTATGTTAATTAAATTAGTCAATTTTTGTTTGTCCATGTTTATTTAACCACAAAATATTTTGAAAGTTCCCAAGAATCTCATATTAGGTGGATTCTTCTTATTATATGAACTACATAAAAAATGGAAAATGTCGTGAGGTAATCTATTACTTTATAATATAGAGAGGTATTTACTTGAAATAAATATATAAAGTTTATATTTACTTGAAGTAGAAACTAAAATCCCGCTTAAAATTATTAAAACTACTAAACTTGATATTTTTTAAAAATTTGAAAAAATCCTGCTAATAGAGCTATAATTTTGAATTTTACAAATATTTTGATTTTATTTTAGGTCAGTTTCATTTATTATGAAAACAGATTTATTTAATAATTTCAATATAAATAAAGATCCTCTCAACACATCAATTAGAAAAAAAAAGGCAAGTTAGAAATGGGTATTTTTAATTTATTGGTACTAAAGAATATCTTTTAATAAGCTAGTAGGATTAACCGACCGGTTAGTGATTACTTAATTTGTGCATTTTGGTTTTCCTCTTTACCATGTAATAATATGCTTGATATCTCGTGTTTTATTGAGGTGTAGGAACAAGATGAAACCATGCTGAATTGCGAGTTTGGGCTTGACGATTACTCTTTCGGACAAGGTTTTTAATGGAAGGGCGTTGTTTCAAGTGAAGCAGCTGCAAGATATTTGAACTTGGTACTTGCCTGGAGGCTGTATCTATAACGTAATCTTAGTCTTTCTCTTAAGGATCTTTGTAGTATTCTTCAACTTACATTCGTGTTAGGATTTCTGTTGATGTTCCTTGTCTTGATTAATTTGAGCTGTTTAGTTACTGTCGTCAGGACCTCTCAAGTCTATGGAGTGGTAGATTATGAACAAGTTATTTTACCAAGGGTCATGCACTTAAAAAGTATATATATATATATAGGTAAGGGATCATATGAGAATGATCTCTAGTGAAAGAAATAAGAATGATTTTGGAGCATTAGATCTAACATATCAAGGGACCTGATGGAGTCAAAATTTATTACATTAGTCAAATCTGTTATGGCAAAATTGTAAATATGTGTTTATTCTTGATTAGTAAGTACCTCTAAGGATAATTGTGTAATTTTAATGACAACACTAATCCATTGGGCCCCACACAAAATAAATCCCACCTCCCACATCCCATCTGTCTCTTTCTTTCTTTTTTT